ACTATTTACTCTGCTTGTAGTGTATGGTACAGTTATTTTAATTAGTCTATATAAATTAAGAACAAGCAACATAATTGACCACAGAAATGCACTGACTCTGGCATATTCCCAAGCATAACAGAGCAAGGGTAGTTACAGAAGATTAATTTTTTTCTTTAATCTAAGTAACATGCTCTATTTAGAATTTATACTAATCAGATCTAAAGCTCCCATACTAAGTCACAAGAAAAAAAAAATGTGTGGCAAAGCTACAGATTGAGAATGCAAAACTTTTAAACAAAATTTGAGATGAATGAGCTATTTTCTTCCCCAGCTATCTAACCAAATTCTTAACCATACATTTTGCCAACATAACTCCAAAAGAGCTCGTCAGGATTACATATAGGGGACCTCAGACAATTATGCTTACACATTCTACAATGCTAATTAGAATTAGAATTTCTAATCAGTAGACGAGATTAACAGACAATCAAAATGAGCAAAGTAAAACTACCCATCCTATACAAAAAGATGGATTCATTCACACAGATGATCACACCGGAAACACGAAACTTCCAGGCAGAAGAGCATTTCTGAAAATACTACTACTGTGCTCTCAACATCTAATATTGCCCCTTACAGGATTCCCTATGAAGAACCTTTAGCCAAAACTCTAAAGAAAAAAGTCCAGTTCTGAATCCATTAATTTAAGTATTCAAAGATCAGCATCATTTCAGAGACCACTGCGACATTCCTCGAACAGCTCTACCATCTACTCCAGTAAGCAGGGAATATTCTCCCCTCTTTCATAGCTGCTAGCTCCTCTCCCTTATTGCTTCTACCACCAATACTTTGAAGTAAAGAAAGAAAACTATTTCAGGCCCTGAAAATAGCCAGACACCTAACTAAATTTATATCCAAAGACAATTTGCCTAATACGTATTTATTCAGTCTAAACAAGCATTTACATATTTCACACTGCATTGTCAAGGTAAATTGGCAACCAAAAGCTCCCAGTGCTGGCACACCTCTGTGGTCAAGCTCATGCTGCCAAATACACTTCTGAAATAAGGGATATCAACATCTATTCAAAACTTAATAGAAGGTGCTTTCCCTTGAGCAATCACACTAACTAATCTCCAAGCCTTATTTGTACAGTAAGCTATGGAGAAAATTGGCATGGGTAGTTTGAGGACCTGGAAACACAAACAGGAGCTCAGGTAAGAAGTTTAGGAATTTAAAAATCATCTCTAACTGCAGCTAACAAAAAAGGTGATAAAACAAAGCAAAAAAATACTTAGAAAGCATAATAAGCCAAATCCTGCACAGAACCACTGACACTTCTACTATGTGGAAAAATAACTTGCAAGGATGAAGCACTCCCCCTTAGTGCTCAGCCTCATGTTCCCATGGGCACTGTGCCCCTATGTACATATGCTTCTCTGCTATCATGCAGCTCCTCAAAGAAATTCACTCTGCAGGTGCTAACCCCATAGAGGGAAGAGAACTTCTGCAGAGGTATTTTTATTTCCAAAAATCAAAAAATGTTGCTAATTAAGAAAACAGGTCTCTCAGAATCTCAGTGCTTCCTTAAATATTCACTTTATATATGCAGGTGAAAAATAAAGTTTTAACTCTGGTTATAAAGGCTTTGATTACTGATTTCTAGTATTTTCCTAGTTTTGAAGTGAATTTGCTGTTCTAACTGCAGTCTGGTTTAAACATGAAAATAATTATAACAGCTTTTGACAAAATTTATCCCTGATCAGAACTGACAAGACACAAACAGAGTTTACCCAAGCCAAAGATTCCACCCATCACTTACTGACAACGTAAATTTGCTACTGAAAACAAAATTGCTACAGAAAGAGGATCCAACTAAGGATCCTTGATCAAAGCTAAGAGTTCCTGCACATTTCAAGATTGCATTCTTAGAAAATGCAGAGAAGTAACTTGTAAATAAAAAGCTGTGAACTGTTAATTCAATTGGTCTAAGATACGTAACTTCCTAACTTTAGCATATTACTTGAGTGAAGACATCACCTTACATTTTGCCTAAAATGTCAGTATCAGATAAAAAGAAAAAGAAAAGAAAAAAGAAAAAACTTATTAGCTTAAGTGAATGAAGAGCATCTGTAACTTTGGAGTCTCTCTTCAGGTTTACAATCCAATCATGCCATTTTCCTCCTATGAGCAAATGAGAAGCTAAAACAAACTCTAATCATAATAGAAAGACATGACTTTTGACTGACAGCTAGTAAGGCAAATCACTAAAGTGTGATTTCAAAAGCTAAATCACTTAAAGTATGATTTTGGAAGTTATTTTAAAAAATGACAAAAAGGTAAAAAACCTGTATCATAACAATTTATATATTCATATTCAAAATAACAATATTATTTACAGGACTACTAAGATGTTTGACTGGAACATCCGTTTTAGAAGGAAAGGCTGAGAGAGCCGGAACTGTTCATCCTTTGGAAGACAAGGCTCAGTGGAAGGGATCTTAACATTGACTATAATTAGTTAAAAGGAGTAAACTGGACTCTTTAGTGTCCAGCTACAGGGCAAGAGCCAACAGGCACAAACTGAAATGCAGAAAGTTCTATCTGAACACGGAAAAAGCCTCTTTAGTGCACGGATAACAGAGTACTGGAAGAGTTAAGTTACTGAAGTTGTGGAGTTTCCATTTTTGGAGATATTCAAAAGCCATTTAGACACAATCCTTGGACACGTGCTCTAGGTGACTCTGCTTGAGCAGGGGCTTTGGGCTAGATGATCTCCGGAGGTCCCTTCCAACCTCAACTCCTCTGTGATTCTTTGATTTAAGGCCTACCTTTGGCTCTGTTGCTTTCTTAAATAGCAAATGTACAAAATCCTTCATTCTGTAACAACCATCACTGTATTTTACCAGCATGCTACGTTCAGCTTTCAAATTTTACACAGATTACACTCTGACCTCATATTCAGACTCTCAGAGGACATAATCGATCTCTTAGCAAAGCTGACAGCCTACTGATTTTGAAATTGCACCTAGGACTATCCCAAGTCATAATTTCCACTAGAAACTTACCACTGGAAATAATTATTTCTAATCTCCAGTATTCTAAATATAATTTCCAGAAGAAGGCACATAAAGCAAGGAGATTCATTCTTCTATACTGACAAAGGCTAAAGCTGTAAAACTAGATGCTTTAACCATAAAAATGATAAAGATTATATGAAACTGTCATAGATCATTATCCTCCTCCCAGGAGTAAAACTATCAAAAAGAGCAAGATACAAATCTTTTTTTCCAAGAGAAGCTGTAGGACTATGGCAGAGTATTCTACACTAAGCTCATTGAACAGCACTTATATATCTTATAGTTGGTTTTAAATATGGAAAAAGTGTGTTATCCTCTACTTTCTGTTGTTAGAGAGCTTTCCAATGGATATATTGGAATAATAGCAATACAAAAAATGGAAAATCAGTAATGGAAAGATAAGTATTGAAATACTTACCATTCCATGAAAGGAATTCATCCTACGTCGCAGGCTAAGACAGTAGCTAAGAAGAGCTACTGTCCAGTCCTCCTGCTCTCCAACACCCATCTTTTAAAGTCCAAATCATCTTTTCTTTACAGGCAAATATTAGGACACAAAAAGCTCAAACAAAAATAATGACAAACAACTTCACAGATTCACAGAATATTTAAGGTTGGAAGGGACCTCTAGAGATCATCTAGTCCAACCTTCCTGCTCAAGCAGGCATACCTACAGCATGTGGCACAGGGTGGCATCCAGGCGGGTTTTGAAGACCTCCAGAGTAGGAGACTCCACAACCTCCCTGGGCAGCCTGTTCCACTGCTCTGTCACCCTCACAGGAAAGAAGTTGCTCCTCACCTGGAGACGGAACTTCTTATGCTTCAGCTTATGGCCATTACCCCTCATCCTATCGTTGGCCACCAGTGAGAACAGCTTGTCCCCTTCCTCCCTGCATTCTCCCTTCCTGAACTTATACATATTAATCATATCCCCTCTGAGCCGTCTCCTCTCCAGAGAAAACAGGCCCAGCTCGCTCAGCCTCTCTTCATACGAGAGATGTTCCATTCCCTTAGTCATCCTGGTTGCTCTTCTCTGGACCCTCTCGAGAAGCTCCACGTCCCTCCTATACTGGGGTGCCCAGAACTGAACACAGTACTCCAGGTGCGGCCTCACCAGAGCTGAGTAGAGGGGCAGAATCACCTCCCTTGACCTGCTGGCAACACTCCTCCTGATGCAGCCAGGATCCCATTGGCCTTCTTGGCCACGAGGGCACACTGCTCACTCATGGTTAACTTGGTGTCAACCAGGACTCCCAGGTCCCTCTCCGTGGAGGTGCTTTCCAGCAGGTCAACCCCTAATCTGTACTTATCTATTTTCATATATTTATAATGTGAAGGAATCCATATAAAGGGTATGGATATCCTTTGCAGACTTACAGACCCAGAGTCCTTTAGATAAAAAACATTGTAATACAGAAAACCTCCTGTTATGCACCAAATAAAAAGTAATTCTTTAAGTCCACACAAATCTTTGTGCAAATCTCAATTATACAGGGAAGAGCAACCAGTCAGTCACCAGTCACTCCCTGGCACTGCATTACTGGAACATGAAGCTAGAGAGAATCACAGAATACTTGGGATTGGAAGAGGCCTCTGGAGACCATCTGGTCCAAACCTCCTGTCGAAGCAAGGTCAGCTAAAACTGGCTGCCTGTCACCGTGTCGAACTGTGTTTGCTATAACTACACAGATGGAGATTCAGCAATTCCCCTCGGCAACCTGCTTCAGTGTTCAATCACCCCGAGAGTAAGTAATTTTTTTTTTGTGTTCAAGTAGAATCAGCGGGAAAAAAAAATACAAAAAAGAATAGCATTAAAACAAAAACGCACACAAAAAAGCAAAGTCATTACTCAAAGATAGAACAGGCAGAACCTGATCTAAAAATTTAAACATATCAGTACAGTCATGTCTTTAAGGAAGAATAAAGTGGTATACATACTTTTCTGCTTGGAGTTTTGTTGTTTTCACTATCAAGTCCTGGGTTTGTTCCTTTGCTGCCTAGAATATAATTAGAATTTTAAGTATATAAAACAAACATAAGCATATCAAACGTATTACATAAATTTTAGAAGTATATAACCATTTTGTAGTGTTCTGAGTGTAAGTAGTTGAAATAGTGTTCTCTTTCAAAGATTTTTTTTAAAAATAAATATTCAATAATCTTTCAGTTTTGAGGCATGAGAGGAAAAATCCTAGTTAACATCCTTGCCCACATATATTTTTATATTTACACAAATTCTGTGCACATATGAATTTATATTAACCATATTAAAATATTACAGAAATAGTACAAATAGTTCTCTTTTTTTTTGTTTGGTCAGCCATGTAAATTCTTTGCTGTTACAAATGAAAAGTGAGAAAAATTGATTTGGATTCCAAACTGCCTAATGTCAAGATCTATCTGCCATATTACATAGCTTAATACAGCTGGGCTTCTCAGCTACACTCAGTTCTGCTGCCAGAACATAAGAGGTCTGTAAAGCCTAAAGTCAATATACTTCAAATACTCATCTTGAAAATGCCAGTGCTAGCCCATCACTAGAGCCCAGCTCTGAATGCTCAGGGATGACAACACAAGGAAATCTATGGAGAAACAATTCTACTACAGATAGCAGTTGTATGACGACAGGGATTGCAGTAACAGAAGTTAAGAGTTCAAAAATATGTTCCTCAGCAAGAAGATATGAGAACTGGAATTGTTTTACTCCCACAGGATATCACTGCCTTTTTTCTCCTTTTTAGGGAGGAAAAACAAAAAAAAAAAGAACTTAAACGCATGCACATACAAACACAAATCCCAAGATCAAATGGAAAAATAGTGCAAGAGGGTGAGGAAGAGCTGAAAAAAAAAAAGTGAAAACCTCAAGACTGAAATCAGGTTGTATTTAACAAAGCTAAATTATTGTCTTAACCAAAAATGAACAAGCCTTGAAACCTCTGAAAAAAGTCTAATGCAAATGTATACACACTGATTCATTCTGGCCGCTTCTATTTGCTGTATTAGAATAGCTCTAAAGCAAGAGCAGTTAAATTACCCTGAAAGGTGAAAACAAGACTCCAAAATCTAAGTACAACTTCAGTAAGCAGGAGCCTAAGTATTCCATAAATACACTAAGAGTACTGCTGAAGTGCAGATGGCTGAATTTTCCAATGAAAATTGTAACAGACTGGCATACAGTGGTTCCTGGATAATTTAAAGATATCTTAATGTTATTCTGAAAAGTTTAATATTATATACATATATTTTTTAATTTTTATTTTTGTTTTAATAATATGTGATGACTTTTAATGCATCAGATTGGAGGGTAAGGGTTCACTGTTCAGCAATACCTTTCATTTACAAAGTGAAAAAGAAATTTGCTTCCTTTCCAAATAAGAATTCTCCAGATTTCCTTTCTGGATAGAAACATTTGTTAAGATAACTACTATCAGCAAGTCAGCAAAAAGGAAAGAAAAACAATTTCACTGGAACTGGTTAGATACACCAGTAACCAGTTTTTATTTATAAGCACCTAAAAACCAACACAGATACATTATATACACAGAATAACAATAGGAGCTTACAAAGCCAACAAAACTGTAACTGTCAGAAAAGAGACACACATGCCAGAAAACTGGTAACTTGATATTTCCTGTACTTCTTTTGTATTCAAAACAAGAATATTTCTTCTTTATCACTGTATAATAATTAAAATATTCACTATTTAAAACCTTTTTCATCCCTGTCACATCCTAGTGCGAAATTTCTCCCATTTCTTCCATCATGTCACTGTCCTTGACCAGTAGCTAGCTGTTTGCATTGAATTTTGTAAGCTTACAAAATATAAAACATAAAAGCTTTTAAACTAAGAGAAATATATAGACGCTTTTGTATCTTGTATTTGCTCTACATCTTTAATACAGAGCTCTCTCATTACTTTTCTACTTCATGTGCAATATTCTGTAACTTGTATTTGCTCTTCTGTTGCAGTACACTGACGCCTGACTCAGCTTGAGCACCATCTCATGCACCACGGCATCATCTTGATGGGCTCTTATGGATAAAATACTGAACAACTGAGACGGCCACTTCATAGGTTTATTAACTAACCTTACAACCACAGACAACGGCAGAAAGTCAAGTGTTCTACAGGGTTCAAGAAGAAACCCTCTGTCAAACAGAAAAAAAAAAATCCTTCCCACTGATTTTAATAGTAAAAGAAAGAATCACTGCAGAGTGGCCCTGTTTGCTCTGGTAAAGATATGCTAGCTGCATTATATAACCTAAAGACCCCAAAGAATAAAAATCCGCAAGGACACTTGACTCATTTCCACATCTGAGAGTTTAATTAAGCAGTCCCTGAACTACAGCAGGTTTATATCCAGATGAACAGCATTAGAGAGAAAAAAAAATAGTGCAATGGGCCCTGCTGTATGTGTACACACACATGTACACATCTGTACATGTCCTCTCTCTTCTCTCATGCTTTTTGGAGAAAGCTTGTGAAAGCAGGAACTTTCTCAGGTTACCTCACATATAATGCTTATGAAGCCTGTTTCATCAAAATATCTCTAAATACGCAATATGGGGGAAAAAAGAAACTGTTTGCACAAGAGTTTTCAGGGAAGGCCTTTCATTCACTTATAAAAATTCAAGTGCTATCCTTCCAACAGATTTGTTTTTGTCAAAATATCTACACTTCTGCCTAGATGAATCTACTCTGAAGCCTTTTAAACTCACTATTCGACTGAGTATTAAACTTGTAAAATGACACCAGATTCAGTAATACACTATAAGGTACAACTTTTATCCACTATGGATTCCAGATTATTAAGAAACAAAATTATTTTTGTCTCCACTCAACACAATGGTCTTGTCAACCACAAAACAAAAGCTCAGGATGAAGACTCCACACTACATTTGTCTTATTCTTTGAATTACGACATACTTTTTCACAAATACAGATGAGAATTTTGTGAACATGTAACTCAACAGCTGTAGCCAATGCAACAAACATTTTTTTAAATCATATTACATAAACATAACTAACTCACTCATCTCACACATATCCCAGTGAATCAAGCAGTTTCTCTCCACAAAAAGATATATGAATATTACAGATATTCCCCAAAAGGTGTATTGCTATTTGTTGATTGTTGATTTGTTGAAGTAGGAACAAAAGAAAATAAATGAATACATTTTCTACACAAGTAAAAAGAAAAATATTAATATTCCAAAGTAATATACTAGCTATACTTTGGAAATGTGTCAGTTGTTAATCCTCTAAAGAGACTGTTTAGCCTGCTAAAAGAAATCAAACATAACTACAAAGGAAAAAATGGAAAACATGTATATTACCTTCAAACGGCTAGACATATCTTCACAACAGCTGCTCATCGCTTGCACATCTTCATTTATACTCTCAAGTTCCTAAACAGATTCAAACAACAATAGCTGCTTTTTAAAATCAGAAATACCCCATCTGGGCCCAACTTCATCCTACCAAAATGAGATGCCCATGTTGGCAAGAATGCAAGTGCTCCAGGTTAGGGTAGTGGTAGAGCAGAAATGCCTCTAAAGATCAGTGTTCACAAGGGATCTTTTTCATTTGTTTGAAATATCATCCCCCTCTAAGCAAGATTTTCATCAGATGGTGCAAATTCTGAAACAGCTTTACCGTAAGTGTATTTGTCCTGAAAAATCAAAATATCCTTAAATCCCACTAGAAAAAAGGTTAAAAAAATAGTAGTGCGTTTGAGAGAAAGATGACAAACTGCAGAAATGCTACCTCTTTAACCTGCTTGAATATGTGTACAAATTCCTCATTGATGGCCAGGCTTCGACGCTCGATGTCTCCGCGCAGGTTTCTCCGGGTCCGCAAACTGTTCTCGAAGAAGAAGGTGGAGAGCGCCTTGAGAGCTTCCAGCATCTCCTGGGAAACACGGAAAGAGCCCCAATTCCCACTGGGTTCCAAGGATGGGCGCTACAACTAACCCTAGCTGGGGTTTCAAGGGAGAGACCCCCTTGCCCTCCCGAACCGGCCGCAGCTCGGTTGGTAAATAGCTAATGGCACCGCCGCGTCTTTTCAGAATATTTCAGAATATTTCAGAATATTTAAGGTTGGAAGGGACCTCTACAGATCATCTAGTCCAACCTTCCTGCTCAAGCAGGCACACCTAGAGCATGTGGCACAGGGCGGCATCCAGGCGGGTTTTGAAGACCTCCAGAGAAGGAGACTCCACAACCTCCCTGGGCAGCCTGTTCCACTGCTCTGTCACCCTCACAGTAAAGAAGTTCCTCCTCACCTGGAGACGGAACTTCTTATGTTTCAGCTTGTGGCCATTACCCCTCGTCCTATCGCTGGCCACCAGTGAGAACAGCCTGTCCCCTTCCTCCCTGCATTCTCCCTTCCTGAACTTATACATATTAATCATATCCCCTCTGAGCCGTCTCTTCTCCAGAGAAAAAAGGCCCAGCTCGCTCAGCCTCTC